AATAAAAATAAATATTCTAATATTAAAGGTCGCTCCCAACTAACAATTTCTTTTATTTTTGTATATTAAAAAATTAATTACTTAACAGTACAAAAATTTAAATTTCTAACATTAATTTTAAATTAAAATTTTTATAATAATCAATATCAATTCCACCACACTCTCAAATAAATGTAACTCAAATAAATGGCTGATGGCGGTAGCCCATGGAGACTCATCAAAGGGTGGGACAACATTACCTGTTATGGCCTATGGTCCTTCACATCTCCATTACCCTCCAAACTGTTCCTATATACAGTTTGTAGTGGGACCGACTTGTCGACGTGGGACCATCTTATTGGTTCAACCATGCACAAAGTGGGTCCATGCCCCACCTCCCACCCAACCCCTAATTATTTTCCACCAACTTCACCTCTATCTCTATTGCGTTATTGGAACTTGAATAGAAGGTGTGAACCTCAAAGCCCTGGTCAACGGGGCAGTTGTAGGCCCATCCTACGCGGCACTGACCTCACCCTCACACACGCGTGTATCCTTCTACCTTTTTTTTTTTTTTCTAAATATAGAAATTAAAATTGGAATCTAAAATAACACTTCTCACCAGGTGTTAGCTATTCCATATTAACTCTCACTTGCTAATAAAAAAGTTGGAATATTCTTTTCTTTTCTTTTCTTTTTTTTAACCTCAACGAATATTCATTCTTCTTTTTTTTTTTTTAGGCCCACAACGAATATTCATTCTTAGTATGTCATTTTGTCTTTCTAGTTTATTTTAGTTCATAAGATTAGCCACTTGCTCCAAGTGTGAAGCCACTTGGATGCAGCATGTTCTAGCCACACCAATGCCGTTCTCTTCTCCTTCATCTTCACTTACTCTCTTAAAAATGTAATAGTATGTTTTGATTGGAGGGAGAGGTGGGAAGCTAAGTCATCTGTTTTATTTTTTATTTTAATTAATTAATTTATTAAAATAAAAGAAATGAAGAGAGGAAAATGAAAAGATGTTATATATTTCTATTCC